AAGCATCTTCGGGTGTATCTCCCGGCGCATCTCTCCGTTTGGTGAAACCCTATTTGCTCGATTTCATATACACACACATAGAGATACATAAACAGGTTGGTTGGTGGTGTTGAAGGATTGCAATGGTGGTTTGAGATAGCCGATTGTTAGTGTTGGAAGGAATGATTGTCATGGGTGGGAGTTGATGACGTGAAACGAAAAGGGGAAAGGAAAAAGGAAAGCCTAAATGATTAACTTTTTTCTTTTAAATTAGTAAATAATTAACAAAATTAGAAAATATAAATAAAAACACTTCAATTTCTCTCCTCTCCCACCTCTCCATCTTGGGAATAGTTCTTTCTACTGGCTATCTATCTGTACAATGCCAGTTCAAGCTACCTTCTGGATGGAGCAAGAAAAAGGTATGTGCAGGCACAATAGTTCAAGACTTCAAGGCGGACAGGTAAGGGTAGGTAGTAAAGGCTTAGCATAGGCAGGGGATAGGCATTCAAATCACTATCTTAAAATACCGTATTGGGTGCATACTGTCTGAATACTTGCTGTCTATGCTGGATGAACGATTTTATACATGTTTTAAATGATTTAAACTATATATGTATTTTATATCTACAAATATGTTGGGTAAACATGGGTAGATGAATGATAAGAGATGAAAGATGATATGAGTGAACATAGGCAGCTATAGACATGATACCTAGATGTTTATAGTAGCGTGTTCATTTTGATCCGTTACTCCTTTCACACTTTTAAATTACAATCATATTCACATATGTACATATACATACATGCATACACATACACATATACACATACATTCACATATACCCATAGACACATACATTCACATATACCCCTAATTTTGGATTCTCTGCACCATTTCCAGCATATATTGGGTATAAAGTTCTAACCTTGCTCATTTTTGGCTTAAATCTCTTATTGGGTTCGTTTGTATGCTTTTAGCCATAGATGGGTGGTTGTTGGGGAAGTAGAAGTCCCAAGTGTTTATCCTTTTCAGATCTATGATCTTCATGAGCTCTTTTGGCATAAAAGTGCCAACTTTATGGTCTTAAGGGCTTCATGCATTCATTAGTCCTTCTTTTGGCCTATTTTGAGCATGCGAGCTTCTTCTAGTCGTGACTGAGTGTAAAGTTGGAAACTTTACGTGGTCTTCTAGCGTTATGGGGTCAGATCTGCATCTTGGAGTATTACCTTTGGTAATTTTGTGCTTAATGATTAAGTCCTTGCCCTTTTAAGCCCAGGGTTTGGGTTTTGAACCCATCTTGGTGGTTCTTGGGGGTTTGACTTTTGAAAGCCTAGTGCCCCAAGTGTTGCACCTCTAATGGAGTCACAAACACCCAATGCAACAAGATGAATTAGGAGAGAAGGATTTTCGGCTAGGGCTTCATACAAAACTCATCGATCCGAAATCCTTATGTAGAGGGTCTATTTATAGTTGTGGCTGCTAGGGTTTTCAGGTGGAAACCCTAATTCCTTACTTAGGCAACAAACAGACTCAAGGGGATGAGGAGGCGGTTGTATCTATGGGAGATATTCAGGTTGGAGGGCACTTGAACTATGTAGGGAGACCAGTGGCTGCAACATCATCATCATCATCATCATCATCATCATCATCAACACACACCACACCACCATCACCATCACCATCACCATCACCATCTCCATCACCCATCACCATCACCATCACCATCACCATCACCATCACCATCGTCATCACCATCGTAGGTAATCCATCGGATGGCTCCATCGTCCCTCTCAGTCCAGAAAAGCCCTAACTCGAAACCCTAAAGCTTTTTGAGTGTTCTTGAGCCATTTTTGGGTGTTTAAAGTTGTTTGAAGCTTGAAGAAAGAAGTGGAAGCTTGGGGGTTCTTGAAGAAGCAAGTAGATCCAGAGTCTTGGTTGCATTTCCAGCTTGGCTGAGGTAAAAAGCTTCAACCTTGACTTCTCATTTGTTAGACCTTCTTTAAGGCTTGAATCTTGCCATTTTTGGGCATTTCTAAGCCACCTTCGGGTTTAGAGCGTGATGTAGAGTGTTAACTTCAGATCTGGACCCATTGAGGGTTCCCATGGCATAAAGGTGCCAACTTTGTTGCTATAAGGGTCCCATGTAGGGATGAGCATACGACCCGTGGGACCGGACCGAACCGGAAAAAAACCGGGACCGGACCCGGACAGAACCGGATTATCATATTAGTGGGCCGGTTTTCGGGTTTGGTTTTTATCAATAATCGGGTTTCAGGTTTGGACCGGACTGTACCCAAATTAAATGATTTAACCCGGACCGGACCGGAAAAACAAAAGTTATTTTTTTTTAATCGACAAATAGTAAGCGAGAATTAACAAAATAAAAAAAAAATGTTGTCCGATTGAATTGATTTGTCATCTCCTATGTATCACATTATAGTGTCAATTTTTTTTGTTTCGGCCTCTTCTCTTGATCGCATTATGGTGTCAATTTTTTTTTCTCGAAAAACCAAAAGTTATTTCGTATACAATTTTTTTAATAAAAATAGTGCAGTTCTTTTTTAAAAGAAAAAATAATGCAATATTTTTTAGTAAAAATAATGTTGTTAAGTGCAATTTTTTTTAAAAAAAAATAGTGCAGTTTTGTTTTATAAAAACAGTGTAGTTTTTTTTATATAAATAGTGATGTTAAGTGCAGATTTTTTTTATGTAAAAATAGTGAATTTTTTTTATTTATTAAAATAGTGTAGTTTTTTAATAACGTTTATATTTGTTTGCATATACCTCATTTGCACGTGTTCTAATTAGAGTCTCGCAGCGTACCGTTATATTCATATTCTTTTATGTATTTTTTTAGTCGAATTGTGCAAACAAAAAAGATACGAATGATGAATGTTACGTAATAAGATTATAATTTGAAATAGTATGCTAGAGAGTAACATGACAAACAAAACCTGAAATCGTAAACAACAAACATAACGAAACCCAATTTGGTATCAAGAACAAGATTGGGCCGAAACCGTAAACAACACTACCAAAGTCCAATTCGGTCCAAAACCCGAAACCCGGTTTAGTACCCGGAACCGGACCGGACCGAACCCGGACCCGCTACACCCAAAAACGGTCCGGTTTTCGGGTAAGGTAATTCACGATTTTCGGTCTTCGGGTTTTCGGTCTTCGGACCGGTCCGGTCCGGGTTCGGCCCGTTGCTCATCCCTAGTCCCATGCATCATATAAACCTCATTTTAAGGCCATTTGAGCCAAATCCCCCATGCATGGACGTCAAGTTTATGACTTTACGTGTAATATGGACCCTAGGAGGTTAGATCTATGTTCTGGATGCATTAAGACCAACTGAAAATCAACTGAATAGTTTTTGTAACATTCCAAAATCGAGACCCAAAATTTTTTGTTTAATTATATTACTTATAAGAATAGTTTACGGAAAACATCATTGCTATCATTTCAAAACATCAAGTTACGAATCACAAGTCTCGAAACCCATAACATCAAATAGTAAAATGTCAGAGTACAATCCCAGGGTTCTCAAAGCGGAAATCATAAGTCCCACTTCTAGCTTATTAAGCCCAGCCTTCCTATGGCCCATCAAAGACTCCTTAAGGCCCACTAATTTCCCAATTTCTGAATTGGGCCTTATCCCCCCCCCCCAAATGTGCCCAAAAAGTTCCAAGTCCAAATGTAATAATTCCAAAGGGTCTAATCTTGGCCCAATAGGCCCAATTAAGGAACATTGTTATGTGTAGGAACTGAGAAGAGTTGATCCCGGCAGCGAGGACAGTTCAGACACTTTACGACATTGAGGTGAGTTACCTTCCAGTAGCGGTGGGTCTACGGCCACAATGTCGGCCCACTAGTAAGAGTTTGTTTGATAGATGATTGTCTTTGTGATAATTAACCAAGTTTGCTACTACCTGATTTGAATTACCTTCCTATACGTACATATACATTCATCGTTACTCCTTTTGCACCGTTACTCCTCTCACATACCTTTCGATCTATTACTCCTTTCACCAAGTTATTACTCCTTTCACACCGTTACTCCTTTCGAGATTTCCGGAACCGAATGTTGTTTTTCCCTTCGATTTTATCGCACCTCTACTATGCATGATTATCTACACTTTCACAAACTTATACCTAATATCTACGTGTGTAGAGCCATGTGCACCTTTTGATCCGTTACTCATTTCATGCTTTAACATTACAATCAATGCTTTTCCCACACACGTACACATACATACACACATACACATACATACATACATACATAGAAACACTCATTTCAATTTTTAACATTGTAATGCCTATTAATACATTCAGATACTTACATAATCATACATATACATACATACATATACACATATACATACACATATATACATATGCACATTCAAATACATATTCACATACACATACATGGACATACATAAACAGGTTGGTTAATGACGTTGAATGATTGCAATGGTGGTTTTATATAGGTGGTTGGTAGTGGTGGAAGGAATAATTGTTATGGGTGGGAGTTGATCGCTAAACGCTACTACTTTGAAAAAATGTTTCAATAATTTAGTATAAATTTGGGAAAATATAGATAATCATGTATAGTAGAGGTGTGAAAAAAAACGAAGCGAAAAAAAAATGATGTTTGGTGCCCGAAATCTCGAAGATAAGGGCATCAAACGTCATTTTTTTCGCTTCGGTTTTTTCACACCTCTATTATACATGATTATCTATAGTGTTGCCAACTTATACGTAGTAATAATAATAATAATAATAATAATAATAATAATAATGGAAATAATAATAATAATAATAATAATAATAATAATAATAATAATGGAAATAATAATAATAATAATAATAATAATAATAATAATAATAATAATGGAAATAATAATAATAATAATAATAATAATAATGGAAATAATAATAATAATAATAATAATAATAAAGGAAGGAAATCGGTATTCAATAAGAGAAATGAAGCAACCCTTATAAACGGATGTGGCTTGCCCGGCCAATTGGTACAGACTTTGGGATTATTCATGTTAGACGCGAGTTCGAACCCATTTGCCTGTTTTTTATTTTATTTTTTGTCCGTCACCTTTATTTCGTTTACCCGCTTCCTTTTCATTCTGTCGTAGATGGATCCAATCCCAACGCCGACCTCCTTCCATCTCCGATACGATTCAGCATCCACCATCGTTCCTTCTCACCGCCACCGCTCCACCAAACTCGGCTTGCACCGTAAACAATCACTGGTCCACCTCGTTCACCCATGTCATTGTTGAGAATCGATTTGATATCCAGGTAAGTTTTTTTTTGGTTTAATTTCGTTTAGGTTTCGTTTTGGGCTAGGATTGATCATTTCGATCTTGGCTTTGTTTTAATTTTGGGTTCTGTTAATATTAACAGAGCATATGATTGAAGGGTTTCCTCTCTATCTTCATTTATCCCGATTTCTCCTCTGCTTTTTCACTACCAAGTAACAACGACGTCGACTGGCTCTCTTCGCCATTGACATCGTCGCTACATCCAGTTACGTCGTCACCTCCATCCAAAGCACCGACGCCGCCTGCCTCATTATCCCCTCCAACGACCGAGAACCCTAGCACTAACCAATGTTTACAGCCACCCACTAGCCTCAAACTCTATCACTCCATCATCAGCTGTTTGATTGATTTCCAGGTTCGTGTGATTCTTTTTTCTATGGTTTTCCTTAGATTTTATGGAATAACTCACTCCTGGTGTAGAATTTGGTTTTCTGGTGTTCGATTGAAAATAAAAAAAGAGTAAATTTTGTTCCCTGCTTTTGGAAGAAATGTATGTGTGTGTTAGGATTTGATGAAGACTAACCACTTTTGTTTATTAGCTTGGTTTATTATTGGGTTTCTTCAGTTACTTGCAATTGTTGGATCTATGATATCTGGAAGGCTGTTCCTAGAGCGAATCTACCATCATGGAACTAGACTTGATTATTGCAATAATGGTAATTTCTTACCCTAGTTGAAGTTTTATAAGTAGAAGAATTGTGGATCTTTGTAGTGTACAGTTGATTCCCTATGATATTAACTTTAAAGTTATATCATAGATTACCAATCCTAAACTTTTTGTTCTAATGTAGGATCACCAATAAATAGATTGAAAGTATAAAGATATAAAAATAAATATCTTTTTAGTTGATAAATGATATGTATTTGAGTTGGTTGATAACGATTCGTCTTGTTAATTGTGATATTGTTCGATAGGTTTCTTGGAGCTCTCAACCAACTAACCAAATAATTATCATGCAGGTATGCCATTTCTTACCAAATGGTTGTTTATCTTTTGGGTTAAATATAAGATATAGCAACATACTTTTTAATATTTGTTTTGTGTAACGTCTACTTTTTACCATATGGCTGCATACTTTTTTGGTTTAAATTCAAGATATACATGCATATTATAACATCTTACTTTATAGCATTGTACTTTGAAAAATGTTCTCAATTATGGCTATAATAAACAAATAAACGAAAGTACATTGCTATATATATATATATATATATATATATATATATATATATATATTTGTGATAATTTATTATGGTGTGTTGAAACAGGAACACTTGGCGGCCTTTGATTCAAAACTCAAATTGAAGAACAATTGTCGGGGTTTATCGGTTAAGCTTAACTTGGTAATTTACCAAGTAATCCCCAAAATAATTCTCAGTTTTATGTTTTTAAGCACTTAGTTAAACATTTATAGTTGACAATTTTAATGTGTATTGTTAGACACATTTAGTATATTATTAGATAATGTTCATTAGTAATGCATTTGTATTTGATACTTTTTAAGGTATTAGATGATGTTTATTAGTTTTGTTGTAATGTTATTAGTTTTGTGGTTGAGTTTCAATATTATTATAAGTTTAATCTAATGAGTTTTGTCAATATATTGGAGAGAAAAAACTGGAAATTTTGTTATTTATTGCTGTTTTAAAAAAAAAAAAAAAAGAGATTTAGTGACGGAATACCTACGGAAAATCCGTCGGTAATATGAGCCGTCGGAAATCCGTAGGTGATAAAGTGAATGTCAATTAAAGTGGGCCCCGTCGGTAACCCGTAGGTAATCCGTCACTATAGTGTTCAGTAGGTATTCCGTAGGTAAATTACTGACGGAAAAATGTTGTCGGTATTCCGTAGGTATTCCGTCGCAAATCCGTCGGTAATATTTACCCACGAGCGTTTATGCTACGGCCCGTTTTCTGTCGCAATTCCGTAGGTAACACCTTATACCTACGGAATACCTACGGATTTTTCCGTCGGTATTATCAGATTTTCTAGTAGTGTATATATAATATATATATATATATATATATATATATATATATATATATATATATTAGCGTGGGATGAGTCTCTTCAAATTATCGTCTATTCCTGAAGAATAGGGATTTTCAGAAAAATAGGAGAAGAGAAGTTGCTCTTCTATTGAAGTTGTTGGACACGATAAGGAAGGAGACCGGGTCAAAAGCTATCCACACTTAAGGTTTAAAAAGTATGTTAAACCGGATAAGATTTTTTTTGCCAGAATGCATAAAGTAGTTGTACATGATGGTTTAAAGATTGTATCTCTTAAAATTCAGCAAAACATGGTAAATGCTTATTAAGGTATATATATATATATATATATATATATATATATATATATATAACCAATCGCATATCTTTTAAACTAATTATTTGCCTCAAATCAAATTTGCAAACATTGTATATAATCAAACGTAGTTGGCCTATTATTCAGTTAAAAAGTAAAGGAAAGGAATTACTTACATGTATCTAAATTGAAATAACTATTATATATACATACCGGTTCGGACGGGTACCCATCAGGTTGCGGTTCCAAAAAATATTTAGAACCCATACCGGAACCGCTAAAGGCGGTTCCAAAACTTTAGGAACCAAAACTACTAAAGGCGGTTCTAAAACTTTAGGAACCAAAGCTGGCATTCCAAGATAGTTCTGAATCCGAAAAAAGTTAATATGTTTCGTTGATAATAATAACATACTTAGGTTTGATCCAAAACAACTTTATAATCTTTTCCTTAAAAAATAACAATAAATACTTTTATTTTTAACAGAAAACAATATATTTATAGAGGAGAAAAAGAAAAATGGATATATATGTTCGTTTTAGGTTGACTTAGTCAACTAAGTATTTAAAATTCAAAACGAATTTTGATCGCAAATGAAAATATACATCTTTAAATAAAAAAAACAAAATTTATTTTCATAAATTTTTTTAATTGAGACGATATTATATATTTATTTTAAAGCCAAAATAATCTATCAAAATGGTTTAGTTTCCAAGTGAAAAGCTACCATCCAAAGCAAATGTCCTAGGGCTTAGTTGTGTTTGTTTGAGTCTAAATCCAATAGTAGGTAAAACCGACCAAAAGCCACCTTACAATATCTTTTTCTATTAACTATATTTAGAACAACCACAGAATAAGGAGCTTGAAGGGAAATAAAAATGGGATATGGTCTTCCCATTCATTCAATTCCCATCCTTCTTCTCCCTAAGACTACTTTTTCATTACATGTGTGTCAAAGTTGGGCACCCAATCATATATGTTTTTTAATAAAAATAATTTCCGAAAAGACTATTCGCACCCGACGTTTGGCGTGGGTAAACGGCTAGTATATATATATATATATATATATATATATATATATATATATATATATATATATATATATATATATATATATATATATACTAGTTGTTTACCCGCGCAAAGCGGGGGGCGGCGAATACTTTATTTCGGCAATTAACTTCTTTTCGGGACAAAAATCATCTAAGCCATAACGGAAAAAAAAATCAATGGTTGACCTATAAAATTTCTAATTGCTATGCAATTATTTATATTTTCGAAAATAAAGATATTTTGTCAAAATTTTTAAAGATTTTGTATAATATTAATCTTAAAATACTATTTCATAACCAAAATAGATATTTACTGAAATTGTCTTTGATGATTTGAAAATTTGTGCGTTTAGTCTCTAATTTTATTTTTACACTCGAACAATTCTCATGTTTTGATATTTTTGTGTTTTCATCCCTCGTAGAGATAAAAAAAACCATATTGCCCTTAGTATTTTCTTTTTAGTTTTATTATTATTTATTATTATTATTATTATTATTATTATTATTATTATTATTTATTTATCAGCTAAAAAATGAATTAATTGATTAATATACAACTTGGACCCACATTCACTCCTACCCACCACCGATCACCAGCATCCACCACCAGGAACCGGAAATAAATTTGAAGCTAAACCGAAGAAAAATACAAACCACGAACCAAGTAGGCTACTCGTGCAATGTTGCGGGCGTCGCTCAGTGGTAGATTAAATAGTTTTTTTCAACAAATAATTTATTTTAGTTGATTAGTTTTATTTAGTAGGACAGTGATTAAGTGAATAGTGTTTTTTTCAACGAATTGTTTCCATTTTGACGATTGTCGGATTAAAACATGTATATCAATACAGAATCTACTAATGTACGAAATTATAATAAAAACAAATATGGCGTTTACGTAAATAAAAAACTAACCTAATTTGTTATGACTTAAAGACCATCATATTAAATTTTTTTTTTATAATATTAAAGAAAAAGATGGAAGTTCTATGATACTTAATTGATTGTCATCAATCTCAACGAAATTTCCAAATAAACAAAAAGAGAACAAATTCTGACAGCCACATGAAGATTATCAATACCCTTCCACCAAAATACATATTAATCTCGACTTATCATTCACAAGTCTAATTATGCCATCAATTCCAAGTATCTTTAATATTTCACTCACAAAAAACACATATTCTTGATATAAATCACATGTAATATAAACTTTTACTCGTTGTAACTTCTATAACCTAAGCTTCCAACTTGGTTGGGATTGTACTTTTCACCGTATCCAACCACATACTGTAAATCAAAATTAAAACATCATTAGTAAATGGTATTTTAGGTATTTCATAATACAACTAAAAAATCTCATAAAAAACATACATATCTTATTATTTATTATAATATTCTACTTATATGTTAAATATTACATAATAAATAAATATTTTTCATTTATTTTAAGTTACACATGCGATTGTATGGTAAAACAACCTAAAAACAAAGAGACAAACATACCAATTTCTAAGAGTTGTGCATATCTGGTCACTTCTTTCATTTAATTTGATATCTATATTTATCAAAATTCTAGCTTTCCTGGCATATCTGTTTCCAAACCACAAATATTTCTGTTTCTCATTGAATAAACATCTTAGTTCAAATATACCATCCCAACTACTTATATAATATAAAAAACTTCACTTTTATATAATATAAAATTTTCATTGCTAGAATCAAGTAGTTATCCAAAATAGGATGAATTAATAAGAAAAAAAATTAAAATAGACTGTTATAATCGGGTGAATTTTCAAAAAACAAAAAAACAGAAATATTTGTGGTTTCTGTATCATAACTTCAAGGACTATATCTTCAGTAGAGTATTCATTTAGACTCATAAAGGGTCATGGCAGTGACCCATGTTTACTAACACACCCTGAAACATAAGAGTGTATATATTATATAGGCACATTAAATCAAAATTTTAATTTAATGATTTGTTGTTCTAAATACTATTGTTAACTTACCAGATTGGAAAGCAAGAATGACATATAAAATCTTCTTGATTCGTGATGCACCTTGATTGCTTCTCTTTTTATTTTATTTTACAAAACTAACCCATGAAGACCCACATCCTTGGTTGGGGATTAAGTGATCAGTGTGTGACAAAATTAAAAAGCGTGATGCTATTTATTGAATTTAGCATCTGGTTCCCTTATACCCAAACAAAGTCATTAAACCCAAACAAAGTCAATTTAGATAACCAACCTTCAAGTTAATAAGCATTTATTTATGAAAAGCTTTTTTTAACCCGAAATGGTGGATAAAATCTTTCAAATATTTTGAATATTTACCTCGTCGTCTAATAATATATAGTTACCTGCAGCATTGTATAGACCCTTAGCAGCTTTTCATTTATCCCTACAAACCCTCCTAACCTGTTAAAAAGCATTTATTATCAAAATATCATTAGCAAGTTAAACATACTTTTAGATCATCTTAGTAGCAAAGAACAAAATGTATATTTTGATAACTCTACACAAAATACTCACCACAACATTCAACCAAACCCCCATTACATTCTCATTTTGCAAAATTTCAAATGAAAATTGGAGATAAACAAAATACCTTAGGTTATTTACAAACCAACCTCACCTCTATCCAACATCAAACTCACATCCTTCCCCAAGAATGTTGATACAAAAAAATAGATCTGAGAATAGAAATGAAACAAACAAGATGGAACGATAAGAGAATGAACCAACGTAACCGTATTACCCTTACATTCCAAAAAAACAAATTTTAAAATATTACACAATTTTAAAGCCCATATAACCTCCAGTTGGAGGGGAGAGATTTTAGCATTCACATTTTCTATGGTATTACTTAAAGATCCATGAAATGGTGGCATACGTTCAAGCACACAGGTCATGTTATTAACACCAATTGAAAATAATTTCTAATAAAGATCATATACAAAACATCATCAGTCAAGTTGAAACAACTTATCAAATAAAATAAGACTTTAAGAGAAAATAAAACCTTAAGCCAAATTTTATGAGGTAAATATTCATCTGTTAGCTTGATTTCTACGGTGTAAGCAC